CCTGAATGGGGTCATCAGGCTGATTGGTGCAGCCAGGCAGGGATACCCCCATCCCCAACAATACACCAGCCATGAGGGGGTACGTACAGAGAACTCCACCGCAGGACCCTGGCATCGTGGACAGAGCCTGGAAGTCCTGTGAACAAGGGTGATGTATTGTGAATATGTCATGGTACTTGACATGGTACAGGACACATTATGTTGAAAATGCCCGTCTCAAACACTTCTGAAATGTGACATCACAAATTCAATTGTGATTATACAACATCTTTTAAAGTCATTAAAATGTTTACAATCATGACATAAGTAGAAATTCACACATGAACATAATGACGTTGCAGTTGTTGGGTGACAAATACAAATCACAGTAAGTGTGAGTCCTGGTCCACATTCACTTGAATTGTATGTGCAATGACTGCAACACCATTTCTTGTGAAAGTCCAGCAGTGTTAGGTGGACTTAAAGTTAACCCAACCTTCCATAGGTATTAATGTCAGTAAATGATGACTGAATTATAAGTGCTTTTTGGTTACTGATATAATACTGTTGTCAGTTTGCTGTGAAATTCACCGTTTGAATTTAATTCAATGTTAAGAAATGAAGTGGTTACTAATAAACATGCTTGTCACACAATAGTATTTATTGACTTATCTGAGTGTATATACCTTCAATATTTGAGGTGAATTCAAATCAAGTTTCTCCTTTAAATCTGTGACCGAAGGCTGCGCTAAGGCGTATGGTGAGCTGGATGGACAGAAGGTTTCTGTCATCGACACTCCAGGTCTGTTTGACACCAAGACAGACGAAGAGACGACACGTAGAAATATAATCCAGTGTATGGCTTATGCTTCTCCTGGACCACATATCTTTCTGATTATCATCAAACTGGGCCGACTCACAGAAGAAGAAAAAAGACGGTGGAGAAGATTCAGAAAATCTTTGGAGAGGAAGCAAACAAATACAGCATGGTTCTCTTTACCCATGGTGACCAGCTCAGAGGGAAACCTATCAAGGAGTTCTTGAAGAAAAGCGAAGACCTGCAGGAGCTTGTGGCCAAATGTAACAACCAGTACCACGTCTTTGATAACAACCTCTCTGATAGTTCTCAGATCAGAGAGCTGCTCAACAAGATCAAAAATATAACAGAAAAGAACACAGGAAACCATTACACCTCTGAGATGTTTCAGGAGGCAGAGAGGGCGATTGAAGAGAAGAAACAGAGAATCCTGAAAGAGAAAGAAGAGGAAATGTGCAAAGAGAGGGAGGAACTAAAGAGGAAAATAGAGCAAAAATATGAGCAAAAGTTAAAGGAAGCTAAGAAAGACACGAAGAAGGCGAAAGAGCTGAAAGAAGCTCTTAAAAAAGAATTAGAAGAGGAAACAAAAGCACTGAATGAAGAACAGTTAAAGACGGCTAGAAGAGCAGCAGAGGGCAGCGCTATAGTGCTCTCAGTGATTGCTGTTGGACTTGCGGCTGCAGTGGCTGTGGGGGCTGGGTTGGTTGCGGGGGCTGTGGCGATATTTCAAAAATAACTACAGCTCATTGTATCCGACCTGATGTACATTATAATGTCAGTGTTTAAAACTGATCTGTTGATTCTCAAATTACTCTCGCCTTTTCTTTTAGACATATTTTGAACACAAAACTAAAAGACTAAAGGGACTTTCAGACAGGACGCGGTGGGGGCTACGCGCTGCTGTCAAGACCATTCATTGTCTATGTGTAGCTCTGCACAAGAGCATATCTGCACTCGGCCAAGCTGAGCTCAGCACAAGGTCTCGTTTGCCAGTTGGACCAATAGTATCTGTCTGCAGTCTGCAAGACCCAATTTCAAATATCTTTATTTATCTGTTAGGAACTTCAGTTGTGTAAAAAAAGCATCAGTGTGCATACAGCTCAGCACAACAAAACAAACAAACAAAAGAACACACACACATACAAGTGGCTGTATTAAAAGCATGACAATTGTTATGAAAGGTTAAAAGAGTGGTGTTAAAAATAAATGAACAAATGGATCAGCCATTCATGAGCCTGATGGATGTGGGCACGAAGCTTGAAATGGCTCTCTTAGTTCTGAAAGTTTGAGATCTGTGTCATCGGTATCTTCTGCCCACTACAATCTTCTAAATGGTGTTTGACCCTGCTGAGGCCGTGTGGCTCGCTTTACTTTGGTTCACCATCTATTTTTATCATTTCAAACAAATAAACTAAGAACATTTTTGAAACACATGACTCAACCAAAGCCGTAGTATCCTCAAAGGTATAGAGAAGAAGCCCTGCAGCCAAAAATGTCATCAAAAATATAAAAGGTTGTTAAAGTAGGTAATAAACCCAAGTAATTTCAGTAAGGAGACATAAATCTCGATGAATATTTAACGATATAAGTTGCATGTCTTATATGATACTTATTTAAACTATCATCTCCGTGCTCTTAAATTACCCTTTTTTAACAGTTGGTAGATAAATAAAATAAACATTGTTTGCTTTAAAAGAAAGCTTATCAACTCTGGTTGTGAAATAACCCTGGTATTACTAACGTATATTTAACTAAATATAAGTTGTCTAAGGAAAATACTCTTGTGTCTGTACTCAAGCCGAACTTTTGCTTGTGCGCTCCCCTTCTGCTCTGCGCCCTACTCCATGGGAGTGCAGCACACACAGCTTCCTATCTGACAGGCAAGTGCAAACAAACAGCTTTAAGTCAAATCAGACACACAGGTGATGACAGGAAGTGAGAGGCAGTGCACCTTTTAAAAAAAGTAAAGTAAATATGTCGTCATCAACAACATCAACAGCTGCTCATGAGAGTTTGAATCAGAATCAAAACCATCCTAAACATCATCATCATCATCATCATCAAGGTGTTCATGAAGAGCTTTTTCTTAAAGGTACAAAGGGTCTCTGCAGATCGACATTAAATGTTTTTTATTTGACACATGAATTAAAAATATATATATAATACAAAATGGGTTTTAATCTCCTTGTGATCTTAAGTATCAAAGTTTTAAAGTCTGTAACAATGTTTTTACAATCAAATGTACTTTCATGTAATCAAAGTCGTCTTTTCAAGAAAGATTGAATCACAGCTGAGAGGATTTGTTTTCAGTGTCAGATGTTTCAGGTTGGCTTCTATGTTAGAAAAGTCCTTCAATTTTCTCTGAATACTTGTAAAGCAAACTGCATCATCCAAATGTGCTTTAATGTGATTTTTGCTTCTTCATTTTAATAAAATGTTGTAACAGAGTCTGTAGTTTTATTTGTGAACAAAGAGAGACATGAGACTAGAATTCAGGTTGATCAAGAGGATTCAATAAATTACAAGTTTCACAGAGCAAAATAAAAAAACAGTTTTGATTTTTAATTGTATATATTTAGTTCATAAAGTAGAAAATCATACCATAAAATATTTTAGACTCTTTAATGTCAGAAGTAGATATGATAATGGGGACAGTAAGGGGTTAATAAATGATCCTCTATGATGAGTTGTTAATATTTGACTGATCAGTCTATTGTCACACTGAGCTGTTACTGCTAATACTACACATACTTTTACCATTATTACTGACACTGTAGCTTTAAATCTATTTTATTCATTGTTGTTGTTGTTTCTGTTGTCTCTCTCCTTCCTGAATCTCCCTCTATCACACTTTCCAACCCGGACACAGTTTCATCAGACGGCTGTTCATCATGAGTCTGGATCTGCTCGAGGTTTCTTCCTCTTAAAATAAGTTTTTCCTCTCCACTGTAACTTTGCTAAATGTTGCTTAGTGCTCATGATGGATTAATGTTGGGTCTTTGTAACAAATATAACAAAGAGTAAGGTCTTAATCTGCTCTTTCTGTGAAGTGTCTTGAGATCACATTTATTATGAATTAGCGCCATACAAATAATGTCGATTGATTGATCGTGTATGTGCACAATTTGATTTCACCGCTGCATTTGGGGCGCCAGGGAAAAACATCTGGATTCGGCCCTGCTTGTTAAACTAACATTCTTGCAAGCAAGGTGTTTCTGCTGAGAAAGTCACTGTCTGGTTTCATAGCTGCAAAAAGCATTTCCCATTCAGACAGACAATTTCTAACAAACATAGAGAAAACTGAAGATAGAAATGAAAGCTCATGGTCACAAATACATTACTGACAGTATTAACATGATTAAAATAGTAAAGTAAGAAGAAATTATGGTAAATCATTGAAAGTGGAAACATTAACCCTGTTAAAAAAAGCTTGTGTGTATTCTTTAACCATTGTGTCATTGTTCTAATATGTGGTTTTAATAAATAGTCTACCATGAAGCTGCAGCCCAGTGTTATTTTGCAATATTACCACTATTTTACAAACAGCCCTCTCTCAGTTATAGACTCTATCTGTTGAGTGTGAATGAGTCAACTGGAGAGAAGTGAATGGAAAAGCAATTACTACACTAGTTACAGGCTTTTAAAAGTTGACAGAGAAATACATTTTTACCATTTATTAGAAGCATATATTAGAGCAATAACACAATGGTTAGTAGAACTGATCAGAATAAACACACCTGTTACGGTGGCCTGTAGTTAACAGAGGGATCATTTAGTGAATAATCTACATTAATGATTCCACTTGCCTTCATTTGCCATAATTTGTTCTTATTTGACTATTTTATTGGTGTTAATACTGTCAGTAATGTATTTGTGACCATGAGCTTTTAGCTTGTGAGTACCATGAGCGCCCTCTGCTGGGGCCCCTGCAGACATGCGTGATAAGCCCCGTGCCCTGTTGCCAGGTTACACTCTCCGTGGTGAGTTGACTTATTAAGAGCTCCGCTAAAAAACGATGAAATAAGTCAGTTTTTCTGAGTAAAAGTAAGTTTTATTAATGTGCCATGTTTCAGAGATCCTCTTAAAATAATTATCAAAGACTTTTTGTGTGATATTGATTTGTTTTAGTTGAGTTATTTCAACTCTCCATGTTTTTATGCTTTTCTAGCTGAGTTTCAGCTTCATCATTTGTTGTCGTGTGTAGCTGACTTCACCAACAGTTAGCTTGATTTTCTGCTCTCTGTTTAAGTAAATACTGAAGCTTACTACCAAAGAAGTGGCTGTGACAGAGACCTACATTTTATATACACGTTAAATGTTTGTCCTGTCTGCATTATCCTGTCCCTGTGTGAATGTTAGAGCTGTTAACCACCAAAGTGTCTGTGTGAGCGTGCTCATCTTTCTTCTGTTATTATCAGAATAAACGGCTGCTGGTGCCAAAAGTGAGTTTTTATACCTGGTTCATCACAACACAATGGTGAGTACACAACCAGTACACTTTGTATTTAAAAAAGAAAAGAAAAGAAAAGAAACTAAATGCTTTTGGTAGAAATACACTTTTGTTGAAATGACGTACATCAGGGAGTAAGAACAACACAAACGAGCATCAAGAGGAGGAAACAATGTCAGTAAGAGATAATGAACGGCTTTAAGTCCGATCGGACACACAGGTGCTGACAGGAAGTGCACAGAGGCAAAGCACATTTTATTAAATCCATATATGTCGTCACGATCATCAAAAGCATCAACGTCTCCTGACACATCTCCTTTATGGTTTGTCTCACACGCAGCTCCAGGAATTCTTTCACTGATCCTGAAGAAAATACAAGAGTTTCTTTTCCATTCACCGTATTCTAAGATATTTCTCTAAACATTAACGACACCATCTGTGCTGTGCTTTGGTCAAAATAAAACATGAATCAAGCCCCAGAGCAGGTTTGTGACCCTGTATAAACCAGCTCTCTCAGAACGCTCTGTGTGGGTGGAGATATGAGGGGAGGGTATTGTTTTACCTGAATCCAACTTGTGATGTCACAAGGAGAGCAAATTTGAAACGGGGAATTTTTGTCTGTGTTGTAAGACTTATGCAGACCACAATCAAAGGACTGGATGGGTTTATTTCACGTTTGTGGGTCGGTAGACACTCAGGTTACCCAAGTGGATTTTTCATAATATGTCCCCTTCAAGAGGAAGAAACCTCGAGCAGATCCAGACTCATGATGAACAGCCGTCTGATGACACTGTGTCCAAGCTGGAAGTGTGATAGAGGGAGATTCAGGAAGAAGAAGAGAGACAAACAGAGCAACAACAACAACAATGAATAAAATAGATTTAAAGCTACAGTGTCAGTAATAATGGTAAAAGTATGTGTAGTATTAGCAGTAACAGCTCAGTGTGATAATAGACTGATCAGTCAAATATCAACAACTGTAATGATGAAACGAGGAGGACTGATTATATTCATCATAGAGGATCATTTATTAACCCCTTACTGTCCCCATTATCATATCTACTTCTGACATTAAAGAGTCTAAAATATGTTATGGTATGATTTTCAACTTTATAAAGTAAATATATACGATTAAAAAACAAAACACATTAAAAAAAAGTTTTTTGTTTCTTTGCTCTGTGAAACTTGTCATTTATTGCACATTTCAAGTTTACTTTTTCTTTAAATTTTATTTTATTTACCATTTTGTTTTGTACCTTTTGCACTATTTAGAATTTATTACTGTAAATATTGTTTATCTTATTTTACCTTATTTTATTTTATCTTATTTTACTTATTTTGGTTGTATTGCACCGGGACGGAGACAAACACAATTTCAATTCCACTGTATGTCTGGCATATTTTGAAATTGACAATAAAGTTGACTTTGACTTCTTGACTTCAATGAATCCTCTTGATCAACCTGAATTCTAGTCTCACGTCTCTCTTTGTTCACAAATAAAACTACAGACTCTGTTACAACATTTTATTAAAATGAAGAAGCAAAAATCACATTAAAGCACATTTGGATGATGCAGTTTGCTTTACAAGTATTCAGAGAAAATTGAAGTAGAGCAGACAGGGACGCTGTGGGGGAAGGAGCGGCTGAGGCAGAGTGCAAACAGGAAATTTGTGGTGGCAGCCGCAGCTTTTGCAGCTGCATCTGCACGAGCATTACCCAGAGAAACTTGGTCACGGGAGGAGGTGTGAGCAGCACATTTGCAAACAGCAATGCTGGAAGGTAACAAAATGGCTTCCAACAGGGCAGCTACCTTGTGGTGGTGTAAGATGGGTTTACCGTCAGATTTGAGGAACTTGAGATGTTTCCAGAGTGCGCCAAAGTCACGCACAACGCCAAAGGCGTAGCAAGCGAGAATGGTGACAGATTTGCCTTTAGCCAGTTTGCATGCCTCAGTCAGAGCCACCAGTTCTGCTGCCTGTGCAGAGTAATGAGAAGGCAGAGGAGAGGAACAAACAACAGAAACATCATCTACTACAGAGAAACAGGCGTGGGCAGTGGACGGTATCCTATAACCAGAACCGTTAACATAGAAACTTAGGTTAGGGTTAATGAGAGGAACGTTGTAGCATGTCCTGAACATGCAAAAAGGGGTGAATAACTTTACTATAGCTAACGGGAGCTCAACACACATTAGTTAACTAATTATTGAACTAAATGAGAGCTCACTACCTACCAACCTGCTAGTCTCTCTTTCCTAGTGGAAGGAGCTATGTAAAATGACTCCTCTAACACCGTTTGGAGGACAGATGAACAAGTTAAAATCACAGCTCCAGGATTATCTGCCTAACATTCATTTCTAGAATAATTAGATTCAAGGATAACCCCTGGTATAGGACTCTAGATTACCCCCCAGAGAGGGAATAACTGTGAACTCCCCTCACTAGGATGTTAGGTGTGTATGAAGTGTGTAATATAAATCAGTAAGACAAGTGTGCCGTGGTGTGACTGCTCACTACTTACCTTCCGAGGTTCACGGGGTCTTTAAGGGGAACTTCCAGTCTTTGTGGTGTAAATGATTTCAGTCAGAAAATGATTTCAAAAAGTTTCCGAAAATGTATAAAAACATTTCAAATGATATTCCAAATGCAAATACAAAACAGTAAAAGAAAAATATAAAAAATGGAAAAGGAAAACAAAACTCAAAGACCAAAGTCTAAACCTGTGAGTGTGGACACTTGAGGTTTTAAAAGATCTTGGCTCAGAGACTAAGTCCCAAAATGGGATTTCAAAAGTCAGAGTGACGTGGATTCGTTTAGCAAAGCAAAAAAGAACCTCGATCAGATTTTCTACAGCGTTTTTATAGACAAAAAGTCTCTCTTTTTTCAAGATCCTGTAACACCTCAACAATGCACGTTCGCAGAAACGTGATACATCCACAGGTCATGCCAAGTTCATGACATAGGTAATACCAAGTTCATATGTGGTTTCAGCTCGAAGACCGTGAACCGAGCAGATACTCAGAAACGCTACACGCCTACGAGCTCTGATGTGGTTTTGCTTCAATGTATGGCACACTTATCTTGACCTCACAGGAGTGTAGGCACTACGAGTGTGTGTAAGTTTAACAGGAAATGTTGAAAGCAGAAAAAGGTTATGACTTTATGACCTATGTATTAAATGATGAAAGAATTAAATGATAATAAAAGAAAAAAACTAAAACAAATTCAACAATTGCATAACTCTTTCTGATCTTTCAACAACGTCTTTCAGGTCTGGTCTTGGGTACGGGTGAGCTGGAGTCCTGCAAGGCCAGGTAGAGGCATAAGGGTGGCAGGGTTAAGTACAGTCTCATCAACAAATTGTGTAAATGGCTTTTCTGGATCTGGGATGCCCAAGGTGGACTGCAAGGACAGTTTAAGGTTTTCAAACGCAGTGTTTGCCTCCTCAGTCCACTGATCGGGGCTGGAATCTGTCAGGTCTCTTTTGTGTGCGATGTCTCTCAGTGGTTGCTCCGTCTCGGAGAAGTTAGGAATAAAATGTTGGCAGTAAGAACACATGCCTAGGAAAGAAAGAACTTGTTTTTTAGTCATAGGTTTAGGTGTATCAGCCACAGCCTTAACCCGGAGGGAGAAAGAGATTGGCCCTTTGGTGTGAGGATATGACCTAAGGTCACTTCCTGTTTTACAAACTGTAGTTTAGACAGGGATGCTTTATGGCCCTCCTCCATGAGATGGTGCAGGAGGAGGATGGTGTCTGTCTCACACTGCTCCTTTGTTGGGGCTGTGATGAGGAGGTCATCGACGTACTGCAGGAAGACTGAACCTGGGGAGAGTGTGACAGAAGAAAGACTGCGAGACAGTGCTGACAGAAGAGGGTGGGGCTGCAGTCAGCCCTTGGCACAAACGTGTCCACAAAACGCTTTCCTCCGAACTGGAAAGCAAACCAAAACTGGGAGTCTTTCTGAACGGGATAGAGAAGAAAGCATTAGACTACTAGGTCCACAACGGAAAACCATTTAGCAGGAGATCTGGCTGAGAATGGTGTATGGATTGGGAACATTAGGAGCGTGATCTAGAAACACAGTTAAGCAGTGAGTACAGTATGTTATTCTTATTTTCTCTAGTCCCTCAATTAAACAACTTTTATACACGAGGGGAGGAGTCAGCCGGCCGTCCCGGCGATGTAAAAACTGAAGATAGGACTCTGAAAACTCTGAAAACATCACAGACAGTGGGACTCGGGTGTTACACCCATTGTAGACAGTCATGACTCACACAGTTATTTTCAGAGGAGATACTTGATTTTATATATATTTATGTGTGAAAAATCACTAAAGCCTTTAAAGACTACACTTCATGTTGGTGTCACAAGATCACAGACTGTCATACCAACTTCATCATCGCTGAAAATGTCCTGGAAAAGTCCTGGAAAAGGATCTATGGAAAAGAGTGGGAACCCTGAAGTCAGTGTGACTGAGGTTATGTACGGTCACAAATAAACAGCATAAGTAAGCACAGTATTTTTCCACTACATGTCTGACTGACACCCCCCCCCTAGAGTGATTAGTAAGGCTTGTCATAACTATTCATGGACATAATATCATATGATATTTTACTATCTGTTTATTAAACGTTTGTGTCTATCTTCACATAAGATCATGTTGTCATGTCCAATAAGGGAGGGCTAAGGCAGTTTGGTTTCACCTCCTCGAAACGTAGTCACTTCTTGTAAATGCTGCTGGGAGGGGTGAACAGGATGAGGCTCTGTGCAGGTATAAGGAAGTGTTTCCACTGACAGACTAAAAACTTTTCTTCTTCAGCTTAGAAACACACCAGCTACTCTCTCCAACACCCAAATATGGCTGTCAGTAAAGGTAAGTCAGTACATCTAATTTATAAGGTAACATACACCTTGTATCTGTTGGCGTTTTGAAGACCTCATACGTGGGCACAAACTATGTTTGGGTTTTAATGTAGTCAACTTCGCTATTAAATTAATATTAATAATTTGTATTAATATTACTTACCAAAATTATTCATCTGAATTAATAACAACGGGACACCACCCTGGATGGGTTCCCTCAGTCAACAATAACCAAATAGCACAGAGTCAGTGTCAAATTTAATTGTTAAATACCAATATTATTCACATTTAATAAATATCTGTATTTAAATAAAAGGAATCCGTGAATCCGTACACTAGCCCTCACTCCACCCAGCTGTTATCACAATGATCATAACACCAGTAATCACAGAAAGCTGCTTTATTAGTAAGTAGCTTAAACCTTGTATCTGTTGGGGTTTTCAAGACTTCATACACTGGCACAAATTATGTTTGGCTTTTAAATTATAACAGAATTTAGTGTGTAGGTGTAACTTAAGTGGTTTTCCAAATACCCTCCTAATTACTGCTTATTGAGAGAAAGTTAAGAAGTTGTTGAACAGGAATTCTGATCTTGATATGCGTTGCTTAGTATGCCCTTATAAGGTAGAAGTGAGAAAAGTATATTGAGGTCATATTTCACGTACAAGCTCAGGAAGTTCAACCTGCCCCAGAGCTGCTGATCATGTTCTACACATCCATAATCCAGTCTGTTCTGTGCACCTCCATCACTGTCTGGTTTGGATCTACAACCAAACCGAACAGATACAGACTGCAACAGATGATCAGGACTGCAGAAAAAATCATTGGTGTCGACCTGCCCCCCATCCAGGACTTATCCGGTCCCGGGCTGGGAAACGGGCAGGTAGCAGACTCCTCACACCCGGACACAAACTTTTCAAACTCCTCCCCTCCGGTAGGCGTTACAGATTCTTCCCCCAGGCTGTGACTCTGATGAATGCTAAACAGTCACAGAGTGTCAGACCTGTCACTGTGAATGTACATATACATATATATCATTTAATTTAAATTATCGATCTACGCACACTTATCATGTAAATACTGTAAAACTCTACCTCATGTAAATGAACCCATCTGTCACATAACTGCATTTTTTATTATCATGTCACTTCAGCCTTTTTGCACTACTCACAACTGAACTGTTTCTTATTTAGCCTTGTACATATTAGTCTTTGTGCTGCCTTTATTTTGAAGTCAGTAATTTGAATTAAGTTAAAAATGTTAGTCAATAAAAGTGGTCATAAAAAGTTAGATTTAAAAGATTAGAAACATTTTGACATTAGTTCATGGTTTATACTGCCATCTATTGGTCATTGTGGGTAGTTAGTTCATTAAGTCACATGCTGCAGTAAGAAGGACAGAGAGAGACAGAGGATGCATGTTGCTGCTGAATGGTTTTCTGTTACGCTTCTGCCTTGGAGACCATTTGTCTGTAAGTTTTATGTTCAGTTCATTATAAAAATGTTGAGATATGAACACAAAATTCAAGTCAGAAACTTTTAGTTGTTTTTGTCTTTCATGTGCTCTTAGCTAATGCTAAATGTAGTGCAGGGGTGCCCAACCTTTTTTGAACCAAGATCTACTTTTAAAGTTACCAGTCTGCCGAGATCTACCAGTCCACATAGTGAGCCATAGCCTTTACCAACAGCCTGCAAACGCATTTAATACTCACACAACAAACAGAAAATAATATCAGATATAATAAATGAGAGTTCTGTAAAAAATAATGCAATATCGACATACTTTTTTTAAAACTCTTATTTTAGGGTAGGCAACATTTTAATATTAATAATATTTGTATTTATATCACATATGTTTTCCCCTTAATTTAGTTTACAACAAACAACTTTAATCTGTGTGGAGATGTTCACAGACTACAGCAGGCTGCTGTGAGATGATGTTGCTTTTGTTAAATTAGCTGCAGACACGGTGAGAGTGAACGGAGTAAAGTCCAACCGACCGTTTGACCGGGTCACGTGGGTTCCCACCTCGGTCCGTACGGATCACGGATCAACTGTGTGCTGTAGCACTAAAAGTAAAAAGTAAAAAGGTTCGCGTGGTGGCTGGCGCTCCAGTGCAAGTGTGTGTGTGTGTGTGTGTGTGCGTGTGCGTGTGTGCGTTTGCGTGTGTGTGTGCGTGTGTGTGTGTGTGTGAGAGAGTGTGTGTGTGTGTGTGTGAGTGTGTGTGTGTGTGTGTGTGTGTGCGTGTGTATGTGTGTGTGTGTGTGTGTGTGTGTGTGTGTGTGTGTGTGTGTGTGTGTGTGTGTGCGTGTGCGCTGTTTGTTGGTGTGTCTCGTCCCCCGCGATGCTCACAGTCATGACAGCAGAGAGGAGCAGAGAAAGTAGCTGCAGCTTCATCAAATGCGCTTAATACTCGTAGCATAGTTTCTATATATGACTTTTTGTAAACATTTACCCCCGGTTTTACCTGCACGTCATTGCGCATGCCTGCACTCTCTCTCTTGCGCGCGCTCTCTCTCTCTCGCTCGCCCGCTCGCTCTCTCATGCACGCAGCAATTTCATGAATAAATGACAAATTAAATACACACAGGTCGGAAGTATACTTGGGCTCCCAACACAGGTATCGTGTGTGGGAAACAGTGCAATGAGATGAAATTGAAATCACTTTTCTATTTTACAATTGTATTTTATATTGACTAAACATCTCGATCGACTGAGAATCAGTCAGCGATCTACCTGTCGATCGCGATATCTACCTGTCGATCGCGATCTACCTGTCGATCGCGATATCTACCTGTCGATCGCGATATCTACCTGTCGATCGCGATCTACCTGTCGATCGCGATATCTACCTGTCGATCGCGATATCTACCTGTCGATCGCGATCTACCTGTCGATCGCGATCTACCTGTCGATCGCGATATCTACCTGTCGATCGCGATATCTACCTGTCGATCGCGATCTACCTGTCGATCGCGATATCTACCTGTCGATCGCGATATCTACCTGTCGATCGCGATATCTACCTGTCGATCGCGATCTACCTGTCGATCGCGATCTGACTGTTTGGGCACCCCTGAGTGGCTAACTGTTTTCCTCATGGTTATGATAGCATGTAGCTTTGTGTTGAATTAGCATTTTTATGCATTTCTGTGCTTGCTTGAATTTAGATAGCAATGCTTATACTTTGTAAATGTATACTTGTTATCTGTACTGAAATATTGTTATTCTCTTTGTAATATTGCAGTTTTACAAAAACAAAACAAAATGGAAGGAACTCATGTAAAATCAAGAAAAGACAAGCTTTGTGTTTTTATTGGAGGACTTTTGTTTCAGTGTTATCTGGCTGTCAAATCCTGTACATTGGAACGTGCAGAAAGGGCAGTACAGTCTTTGCTTATTGTGTTTATTGTTGATATTTAATGTTATACTTGTACATAGAGAAAGTTCACCAGTTAAATTCCTTGTGTGTGTAAACATACCTGGCCAATAAAGGTGAATGTGATTCTGATTCAACTTCTTAACGTTCTCTTAATCAGCAGTATTTAGGAGGGTACTGAGGGCAAACTCTTAGTTAATGGCCTTGTAGCTATGAGTTATGGTCATATAGAGTAAGGTACTATAAAGTAGAGCCCGACTGATATGTATTTTTGGGGCAGATGCCGATATCGTTTTTAGGGAGAAAACATTTCGATATATCTGGTCGATATCTTTCTTATATGTATCTCCAATCTTTATGGATAGAAATAGATATACACACATTATTGCATTGAGCGGTTATAAAACACTTGTCATAAAGATTTATAATGAAGACAAGTTGTTGTTTTTTTACAGTTGAACAAAAGCATTTATGGAAATAAACAATTATTAAAAAATGATATAAAAATAAATAATAAACTTAAATTGAATAAACCTAGTTATATCAGCATATCAGAGATAAAATTAGTACCGATCGGCTGAAAGATTTATTGATCTGGCTCGACTATAAAGCTCTCAATGACGACAGCCAGTATGCTACTAATGAACATGCTAATAAGCAACTGGCTAATGGTGATTATTGTGACCTTAATCTAAAGTGTTACCGATGCTACAAACCCCTAGTAGCTTTCTTTGCATTTTAATTTGGAACATTTCCTTTTTTTAGGTTTAAAGTGTGACCCTGAAACATTTAGAAGATCCTGGATGTTGCTGCTCTGTTGAGTTAGTTTGTAAAGTTTGTAAAGTTAAACAAAAAGTGTTAACTATTTTTCAGTAGAAATAGTAAAATAATCATTTAGAGCTAGCTAGACAATATCCTCTGGGCCCGTTTGTTCAAAGTTAATCCAACAGGATTAAAGTTATCAGATGAGTTTTTCTTGAATCTAAAATCTGGTTGTTCAAAAAAACAAAACAAAAATAACGGGATAATTGTATAAGATCAGGTTTGGATAATCAAGTGGAGAACTATAGTCCTTAATGTTGTTCCTTCATTTCTTTTCATCCAATCAGAACCAACGTACAACAATAAAGAGATCCGGATCGTGATGGTGGGAAAGACCGGATCTGGGAAGAGTGCAACAGGAAACACCATCCTGGGAAAGAAAGAATTTATATCAAGGTTCTCCTTTAAATCTGTGACTGAAGGCTGCGCTAAGGCGTATGGTGAGCTGGATGGACAGAAGGTTTCTGTCATCGACACTCCAGGTCTGTTTGACACTGATACTGATGAGGAGACGACACGTAAAAATATCTCCCAGTGTATGGCTTATGCTTCTCCTGGACCACATATCTTTCTGATTGTCATCAAACTGGGCCGATTCACAGAAGAAGAAAAGAAGACGGTGGAGAAGATTCAGCAAACCTTTGGAGAGGAAGCAAACAAATACAGCATGGTTCTCTTTACCCATGGTGACCAGCTCAGTGGGAAACCTATCGAGGAGTTCTTGAAGGAAAGCGAAGACCTGCAGGAGCTTGTGACCAAATGTAACGACCAGTACCACGTCTTTGATAACAACCTCTCTGATAACAACCTCTCTGATAGTTCTCAGACCAGAGAGCTGCTTAACAAGATCAGAAATATAACAGAAAAGAACACAGGAAACCATTACACCACTGAGATGTTTCAGGAGGCAGAGAGGGCGATTGAAGAGAAGAAACAGAGAATCCTGAAAGAGAAAGAAGAGGAAATGAGGAAAGAGAGGAAGGAACTAATGAGGAAAATAGAGGAAAAATATGAGCAAAAGTTAAAGAAAGTGGAGGAAGATGCCAAGAAGAAGAATCAGAGAATCCAGAAAGAGAAAGAAGAGCAAAAGTGCAAATTGAAGGAGGAACTGGAGAGGGAAAATAAAAGAAAAACATGAGAAAAAATTAAAGGAAGCGAAGGAAGAGATGGAAAAAGAACTAAAAGAGAAAATGAAAGCACTGGAGGAAGAACAGGAAGAGAAGGCTAGAAGAGAGGCAGAGAACAGCTATTTAGTGCTCGCAAAGATTGGTCTTGGAATTGCATTGGTGGTAGCTGTTGGGGCTGTGGTGGCTATGGGGCCTGTGGCAGCTGTGGTGACTGTGGGGGCTGTTGGGGCTGTGGGGGTTTTGGGGGCTGTGGCGGTATTTAAAAAATAACTACAGCTCATTGTATCCGACCTGATGTACATTATAATGTCAGTGTTTAAAACTGATCTGTTGATTCTCAAATTACTCTCGCCTTTTCTTTTAGACATATTTTGAACACAAAACTAAAAGACTAAAGGGACTTTCAGACAGGACGCGGTGGGGGCTACGCGCTGCTGTCAAGACCATTCATTGTCTATGTGTAGCTCTGCACAAGAGCGTATCTGCACTCGGCCGAGCTGAGCTCAGCACAAGGTCTCGTTTGCCAGTTGGACCAATAGTAACTGTCTGCAGTCTGCAAGACCCAATTTCAAATATCTTTATTTATCTGTTAGGAACTTCAGTTGTGTAAAAAAAGCATCAGTGTGCATACAGCTCAGCACAACAAAACAAACAAACAAAAGAACACACACACATACAAGTGGCTGTATTAAAAGCATGACAATTGTTATGAAAGGTTAAAAGAGTGGTGTTAAAAATAAATGAACAAATGGATCAGCCATTCATGAGCCTGATGGATGTGGGCACGAAGCTTGAAATGGCTCTCTTAGTTCTGAAAGTTTGAGATCTGTGTCATCGGTATCTTCTGCCCACTACAATCTTCTAAATGGTGTTTGACCCTGCTGAGGCCGTGTGGCTCGCTTTACTTTGGTTCACCATCTATTTTTATAATTTCAAACAAATAAACTAAGAACATTTTTGGAACACATGACTCACATAAGTGCCTCCAACCAAAGCTGTAGTATCCTCAAAGGTATAGAGAAGAAGCCCTGCAGCCCGTCTATGCAGATGGTTGGATGGAGCGGAGAGGAAATTAAAAAAAGGACGATTTTTATTTTCATCCACAAAATGTCATCAAAAATATAAAAGTTGTGAAAGTATGTGATGTTGAAAGATCAGAGTTATGCAATTGATGAATTTGTTTTTACCCGATGTGTTCTTTTCTTTTATTATCATTTAATCCATTTATCATTTAACTCATATGTCATATAGTCATAACTACTTTCTTTGCTTTTACATATCCTGTCAATCATGCCACGGCGCCTACGCACCTGTGAGGTCAGAACAAGTGTGCCATGCTTTGAGCAAAACCACATACAAACTCGTGGGTGTATAACGCTTCTGTGAATCTGCCTGGTTCACGGTCTTCAAGCTAAAACCACATATGAACTTGGTATCACCTGCGGATGTATCACGCTTCTGCTAATCTGCATTGTTGAGGTTTTACAGAATCTTGGAGAAAAGAGACAGTTTGGCTATAAAAGTGCTGTGGAAAAGCTTTAGTTCTTCTAAAGGGCTCCACATCACTCTGACTTTTAAATCCCCGTTTTGGGACTTAGTCTCTGAGCCGAGATCTTTTAAAACCTCAAGTGTCTACTCTCTCGAGTTTAAGCTTTTAAATTTGTATTTCACTTTTTACATTTTTATATTTTTACTTTTACTGTTTTGTATTTGCATTTGGAATATCTTTTGAAGTTATTTCAATAAATTTTCTGAAGCTTTTTGAAATCATTTTCTGACTGAAATCATTCACACCACTAAGACCTGAGCCTCTCTTAAGGACGCCGCGTGAACCTCGGGAGGTAAGCATGAGCAGTCACACCACGGCACACTTCTACTCTCCGAGTGAGGAGGGATGCAGTTAATCCCTCTCCGGGGGTGAGAGCCTCCGGGGGCTAATCTAGGGTCCTGAATCAAGGATTATACTTGAATCTAATGATTCTAGAAATGAATGTGAGACAGATAATCCTAGAGCTATGCGGTTATATAAGTCTTCTCTTCTCGACAGGGTGTTAGCGGAGTAATTTTACATAGCTCCAGTACTAGGAAAGAGTAGACTAGCAGCTGGTAGGGAGCGAGCCCTCACATAGTTCTAGGAAAGTTTTCTGTCCCACCCATGAAAATTTAAATTATTTGTGCAAAAAATCCCAAAACACACCAGTTATTGTGTAAATTGTATGTGTCCTGAGACAACATGTAAAGAGAGTTGTGGTGAAAGTGGTTTTAAAAACCAAATATCTCCCAAGCACCCCTAAAAGTGGCTGTATTCTCTTGTCCCACCCTCTCAATGGCCAGCTTTAATATCAAATGTAACAGTTAAAATATGTTTTTAAATTGACTTTTTTTTTTACATGATTTTATTAATATATTTCTCTTGTAATTGCTGATACTGTTTGTTTAACCATGAACATATTTTTAATAATAGTAATTATGCCTCAAGGTTGTGTCCCACAACATGCGTGCAACCCTGTTACCAAAACAATTTAAGCAATGCAGAAGAAGACTAAGAACAGGAAACAACATGATTCAGCAGAAATGACATCTTTAAGCTACATGCTAACACCATGGCTAGACCAAATTTAAGTGCTCTCTTCTATTTTTCACATTCTCAGTCTAAATTGAGTGTGTCACTGAAACCAACTCAACCCTGTTACTGATTTGATCAGAATAAGACAATTTTCTTTTTATTCTTTATATATCTTAGATTGTCCTTTGCCAGCTAGCATAACTGCTAGTACAGGTAGCATCTACCAGTAAGAAAAAGTTTGAGCATTAGCACAGATTTACAACCCTGTTACTAAAATAAGAGCAACAGGCTTTTTACAGAGTTCTTTTACACCTATTGTGAAACCTTTAAAATAATATCACCAATGTTCCTGTTATCCTGTGTTTATTTATTACATTTATGTCTTGACTTATAGTCTAAAGTAATGTATCCATTCACCCCTGTTACTCTTTGACCCTGTTACCATGTCATTTTTTATCAAAATAATCTTAAATGATTTTCTTAAATCAGTATTCAATGTAAATGTGCCTCTGTTTATTTAATGTGAAGGGTTTTTTAAGCAATATTTAAAAATACACGTTTTACAGGTTCCTGAGTATCTGTAACAGAGTTGCACCAAACGCAGCACAAAACAAAGAAAACACCGAATAAAAAATGTGTCTTTGATGCCTGAGCTGGACGAATCACATTATTTGATGGTTTATTACTTGTGTTTTTTTAAATATTTAACAGAAATTTGGAAAACAAATGTTAATTTTTTCAAAAGTTTTGATGGCTAAATTGTCCTCCAATTCTGGAATGACCAAGTTAACTAATGGGTGGTGAGCTTCTGTTATAGGTAAAGTTATTCACACCTTTATGCATGTCCAGACATGTAACAATAATAAACCCAAGTAATTTCAGTAAGGAGACATAATTCTCTATGAATATTTAAAGTTGCATGTCACATATGATACTTATTTAAACTATCATCTCCGTGCTCTTAAATTACCCTTTTTTAACAGTTGGTAGATAAATAAAATAAACATTGTTTAAATAAAATCCACATCGTTTGCTTTAAAAGAAAGCTTATCAACTCTGGTTGTGAAAAAACCCTGTGTTACTATATTTTAGCAAAATATAACACACTACATACCTCAACCTTAAATAATACTTCAAATATACTTAGATCCATCCATGGCTCCAACATAAAAGTTGTCTAAGGAATCTTTTACTTTTACTGTTTTTGTATTTGCATTTGGAATATCATTTGAAATTTTTAAAATAAATTTTCGGAAACTTTTTGAAATCATTTTCTGACTGAAATCATTTACACCACAAAAGACCGGAGTCTCCCTTAAGGACCCCGTGAACCTTGGAAGGTAAGTAGTGAGCAGTCACACCACGGCACACTTGTCTTACTGATTTATAACACACGCTTCATACACACCTAACATCCTAGTGAGGGGAGTTCACAGTTATTCCCTCTCTGGGGGGGTAATCTAGAGTCCTATACCAGGGGTTATCCTTGAATCTAATTATTCTAGAAATGAATGTTAGGCAGATAATCCTGGAGCTGTGATTATAACTTGTTCATCTGTCCTCCAGTTAGGGTGTTAGAGGAGTAATTTTACATAGCTCCTTCCACTAGGAAAGAATAGACGAGCAGGTTGGTAGGGAGTGAGCTCTCATTTAGTTCTAGGAAAGAGTAGTCTAGTTAACTAATGTGTGTTGAGCTTCCGTTAGCTATAGTAAAGTTATTCACCCCTTTTTGCATGTTCAGGACATGCTACACCTGGAGTCAGGAGATGCCGGTCACAATGGAGCAAAGCCCAACTCTGACTTAACCTACTAACTGACTTAAAAACTTTGGTATTGTGAGTACCTGGTGTGTCTTTTGTTTGTTTGTGTTTTGATTGTCGCACTGCACAGAGAGGCGCTGGTTTTCTTTGAGTTTGTTTCCTTATTCGTTTTTGAGGCCTGCTGTAAAACCCGGAGCAGAGTTTTTGTTTTGTCGTTTGAACATTGAATTGAAATGGACTGAACTGTGGAATGTGGGTATACCGGAGCGGACTTTTGCCGCAAGGAACTGAACTTTGCTTTACAAACAGATACTGTGAAACGTGCACACACATTGTGCACATTCATTTTGTTTGCAATGTGGTTGATACATGTGATAATATATATTATTGAAATTGCATTACTGTTTTGTTTGATTGTTTTGTGGCTCTTGCTTATGTCATATTTTGTGCAGGTTGACTATTTTTTGTTTGTATTTAATTTTTTTGTCAGACTTGACTCTGACTGGCACCCAAATTAAAACCTTGTCAAACCCACTACAAAACGGAAAAATAGATTGTCGAAAAGCTGAACGCAGGTGGCGTTAAACTAATCTCCAGATTCATTATGACATCTACAAAGAGAGAACATTTATAATTCACAACTGAGGAATGCAAGGCAATCTTTCTTCTCTGATATCATCACCAGAAACAATAATAATGCTCATGCCCTGTTTGCTACTGTGGACAGGCTAACAAACCGTCCTGTGTCAATAGCAGCTGAATTTCATTCTACCAGGGCCTGTAATACATTTTCCACCTTCTTTAGTGAAAAAATCCAGAAAATGAGGCAAACTGTCAGTAACTCATCATCAGAATCAGGATATGTGCTGTGTCCATTTAAAACCAACTTAAGCACCATGACACAATTTAATCAAATCAACCTCAAAAAACCTGGAGGACATTATACAACAATTAAATTCCTCCTCCTGCTGTCTTGATATTCTGCAAACAGGTTTTTCCAAAAAAGTTTCCCAAGTCATGGCTCCAGATCTGTTACAAATTGTAAACCTGTCTCTTCTCTCAGGTGTCTTCCCACAGGCCCTGAAAACAGCACTCATCAAGCCGCTATTAAAAAAGATCAATCTAGACAAGTCAATAATGAACAATTACAGGCCGATATCAAATCTTCATTTTTTAAGTAAAATAATCGAAAAAGCTGTTTTTCAACAGTTAAATAACTTCTTGACATTGAGCGACTGTTTCGATGTCTTCCAGTCAGGTTTTAGACAAAATCACAGCACTGAGACAGCTCTGGTTAAAGAGTTTAGTGACATCTGTTTAAA